GTTAGAGCAGGGGGGTTGTGGTGGTGGACAATATGGATCATTACAGTATGATGGTAAGCCGTCCGTTGAGCAGCATGGTGGTGATGCTTGGCATTCACTGTTAGGACATGCGGATGCTGGACAGGTAACGTTAGAGCAGGGGGGTTGTGGTGGTGGACAATATGGATCATTACAGTATGATGGTAAGCCGTCCGTTGAGCAGCATGAATCTATTGATGGTACACATTCTTGGTTCTGACATACAGATGTTGGACAACCATTAGGGTATTGTCCGCAACACGGATCTTCACAGCACGTCTGATCGCAAGGTGATTTCGTTGAAAAACTGACAGGCTTATCGTTAGTATTGTTAGAGGAGTTACAACAAGATGATACACAGATTTCAGGACAACAGCCCCAATCATTTATCTCGCCGCCGCATCTCGGCCTATAAAATTGTTGTTATTAATTTAATTTTACTAGCAAAGAGGAAGGAGATTCTAACAAGACATAAAAACCTACTGCGGCGATGCAGATATTAAGCCGACCAAATAAACAATGAGAAAAAATAATATAATGAATTTATTTCTGACCGTCATGTTGAAAGTCAGGGGTGATTTAAAATTCGCAGCAGCAGTTGTTCGATAATATTTATACTTTGGGGTGGTTTGCAGGAAAATTTAGCCGTCCAAATTGAAAGAACGCGTAATATAGTGTTACGTTATAGAAACAGATCAATAAAGAGAACATTAACATAATAATTCGACTTCCAAAGTGATGCGAATTGTGAAACGATTAATAATCGGATGTAGTTCATAAGCATGCATACAAAAATATGCTGTAATCAGAAAGTACTATGGACAATATTTACGTTTAAAATAGTTTGAATTTAAACATATAAATTAGCCCGTTAAGAACTGAATGAATACGTTCGAATACTAAACTGTACATTAATATTTTGTCCAAGACCATTTATTAAACTAATCAGAGACTATGCACACGTCTAATACAGTGGTTTTGCATATGATGATACGTGAAATCCAACAGATCATTGCAAAACGCGTATTGCGGCCCCAAAGAACTATCGTTTGATGAGATTGCCTTCTTTTTTTTTTCTTTGTCTTTAACCGATGTTATGCTTAGTATCAAATTACTTTATTTGACATGGTCTATAGATATTGAGATAAACGAGCTGCTGCATGAAAGAGTGCTCGATATCATTGTCCGATGTACGCTTACAAATACTTGCAAGAATCGCTTTACCTGTTTAACGCATTTGCATTACTCTTAACGTTAAATCAAAATTTCACTCTATTTGTCCTGACATTTCCGTTTATATTTGTCGGGAAAGCCGTACCGCTTTTCTTGGCACACCCAATTATGTAGCGTTCATATAATAGCAGAATTTGTGCTCACTATCATATTTCTGTTTTTATAGCATTTTATACTGTCAGCCAATTTCCTGATTATCGTTATCTTCGCACAATGATGTTTCGTGTGTAATATTAAAGGAGAGCACACGGGGGTTAAATCGTATAAATTAAAAAGAAATTTTTTTTTACATTAATAATAGTTTTTTATATGAGCGACGGTAAAATATATCGTTGTTTAGTTTGAAATCAATGACTTTATGAAACATTTTTCCTGACTCATCAAAAAATTGCACTTTTTTTTTAGATGCAACGTTTGTTTTGTTTTTATTCCCGTCATTATAATAATAATAAATTGTAAGGTGTTTTATTAAACTGGGATAACGAAAAACATAATGGGTATATAAATTGGGCGAGACAAAGGGAAGAGTGTAACTAAGATCTGTTCCCAATTTATGTTTCCTTATTTGGTCTCATACACATATAAATTTATAACTGTCTTTCCAATCAGTTAATTATATGTTTAGAATAAGAGAAGCAGTTAGTCTTTTAAAACGCATATTTTATAAAGTAATTAGAATTAGACCTGCATATTTTACCGAGCGCAGTTATCCCAGCGCTCGTAAGAACTAACAGACAAGATACAAGTTAAAAAGACCACTCAAAAAAAAAAAGGTACGCCAATATTATTATACTGTTATTGTAAACATACAACTTAGAGAAGGAATCTCCAACATACGGGGATAAAGTCTCGAAACGCAATTATCAAGAGAAATACAGCACATGCACAGAACAAACAAGAAAAGCTGTATGCTGAGTTATAGTCATGGTGATAAAAATTGAGCGGGGAGAAAATTCTAATAATTATTACTTTGTAAAAATTATAACAAAACCAGTTGGTAAATTAACAGAGTTGTCGTCGTTGCTTACTGCGTTTATGAGTAAAATTTAATTGCGCTACAACTAACAATCAAGCTAATAAACGCGCTTTTTTTTTGTCGCTTTTTACGCGTATGCATGACAGAAAGCACGCATCCTGTGAATTACGAGAAGCTTGAATACAATTTTTGACAAGAACAAAGGTTTGAACACACTAAAAAGCACATACACTAATTGGTCACGTTAAATTCGAATAAGCCAAGTTAAAAAACTACCACTGAAATATCCTTTTATCCTCTTCGAGTAGTAAACACAATCGAGTAACATGTTTGGAGGTGTTGCTACTCTGCATATTTGAATTATTTTCAATAAAACACGGCATATACTTTATCATATACAGTGAAATCCGCTTTAACGAACGTCCGGTTTGACGAAAATGGTCTTATAACGAAGATGGTCTTATAACGAAGACTTTTATGGACCAATTCATCAATATATATATAAAATGGGTCTTTTACAAAATCAGGCCTCAAAACTGCTGAGGTGTATTTTGCTCGCGGGTGCCCATGAGCCATCAGAATACGAATATATTCTACCGGGGATCGTTAAACGACGCACTATGTCTTCATTCTGAATCTTCTCAAAATTTCCCCATAGTGGAGAAGGCTCTGCAAATTGTAAAGAACCGTCCGAGCGTTAGGAAACATCAGACGCGAAGGAGGTACAGCTACTTTTGATAAAAAGTAGTGACCAAGGATGTTGTATAGATTTTTCGGCTTTAATGAATAGTCCCGCTTTAACAAAGTTTTTTGGTGGGTGGGTCATGCCAACTACGTAATGTCATAAACTCTAAAAAAGTTGTCGGTTCACTAATTGACAATGCAAGAAAATTGCGCTACACGGAGGTGTTTGAAGGTATTTTAATTTCATCCATCGGTTTTAACTATTACTATTATTACCATTACTATTGTTACTATATTAATATAACTACTGTATCAAAATCATGTGAAGCGATTATGAACGTGTTATTATCCTTGCAACATGCAAAAATGCGTTGCTATTGTTTTACTTTTTATTATTTGACGACAATAAACTCTCGTCTTTTTTTTTTGTCCTCTAATACAATTATAGTATATTAATAAATATATATACGCTAAGTCACGTGGAATATAAAATTTCACTCGCCTTAAGCTTCTATTACTTTTTATTGCTTGCTGACACCGTCCGTGATCGAAAGGCAATGCTGTATGCCATTTTAAATGCTGATAATAAACCACAACACCGAACCAATATTCACAGATATCTATTTTTGCGCATCTTGTATAATGATTTATGTAATTATCCTTAACAGATAAAGTCCTACGTTATAAGTACGTCTTTTTCTCATGTATAGATACAATTTGTAATTAATCGTCGTTTATCCATAGCTGCAGTAGATGCGAACAAATAACTCGATTAGTTAGAGCGAATAGCATAAAACGAGAAAAAGATACTTGTAATTATACTTACCTCCATCTTCCTTATGCCATCCGAAGACGCAGCAGCGTGTGAAAGAGCCATCTCAAGATCCTCCTGATCCGTTAAAGTAACCTTTGTACCATCATCATCCTTATATCTCAATTTAAACTGTGACAGATTACCAAACTTTTCCTGAATTCGCCTGACAAGATCTTCATATGTTATAGTGTTGGGTACTATGAAGGCTCGGGTATCTTTATGATAGCATTTGATTCGAATCTGGGACAGCAAACATTTATTAGCATAGTATCCAATGCGTTGGTTTTTTCATCTAATACAAAAGCGCGCTTGCGAAAAAATCAATTATAACGAAACGCTCAAAAGTACCTTAAAATTATCTTCCTTCTTCAGACCCTTTTTCCCACTTGTAACTTGCGGATTTACACCATTCTTCGCGTTAGGGGACCCTAATAGGACAAATTGTGTATCATCTTCATCTCCGTATTGATATGCATCATCGCCATCTTGATTGAACAATATACTTGCATATGTTCTTTTATCATCAGGACTTAGTTCGAGACCTTGCATACCTTCTTGCCGAGGAGACAACAAATATCCGGCCGCCTTCTGACCATCGGGGGGAGGCGATTGAATCTTGCGTACTCCTTGATTATCACTGTTGCCGTTCAACAATGGTAAATTATTATCAGGTTTATTCCCATCCATATAATAACCATTATCATTATTCATAATAAAATCATACAATTGGTTAAAATCTTCGGTATTGCTCGGACTTAAATTTTGATACGCGTTGGGATAGACACCATTTGATTCATCCACTTGCTGTTGGATTGGCATTTTTCCTTGCATGTACGGAGGTCGCGGATAGTCGTTAGATGGAGGGAGCTCAACTCGAGGATTCGGAGATCGATCGCGACGCAATGAATCTTGTCTTCGAGAAGGTAGTCCTGCATTCGCTGTATTAGGCGAGGGCTCGCGTCGAAGCGACCCATTTCTCGCTACTTTCCGAAGAGAATTCTGACGAGCAGGCGTAAGTTTTGGAGATGGACGGCCACTGTCAATAGTGTTGGATCGATAATGGTTCGAAACAAGTATATCCGTCGGCCGACGAAGAGGGCGTGTTCCACCCGTTTCATCACCTGGCGGTACTTTAGGCGGGCCAACATTACGCCCATTGTTTGGTGCAAGCGAGGGGGCTTCTCTCACTGATGGCAAAGTGTTCTTACGTTGTGGTTGTTGGCGCCGAATACTTGGACGTGTGCTTATAGCAGGGAATGGTGGATTACGTGGATTTGTTGATAATGAGCGTGGGCGATCGAGCGGTGATCCTGGGCGCGAGCCGTTGCCATCAAACGAATCGACCCTTCCGTCGGTTCGCTCCTTGGTTATTGGTGCTGTCGTACTCATTTGTTGGTTCTGAATATGACAGAATCGTTAGCACCTGTTTGATATTATGCCGAACAAAGCATTCCAATGTTATTCCCATTTACCTTTAGCTGTTCTGCACCTGTAAATCCGACAAAGGCATCTCCTGGATCGACGACAGCAATCAAAGTCGGCTCTCCTAGATAGTTTTTCGTTTTTACATTCTTCAACTTTCCTTCTGGTGGCCTATAGATTACTCCCACAGGAATTGAAAAGACTGTAAAACCCTAAATCCAAAGAGTCCAATAAGACTAAGAGCGTTAACAATAAGAGTCATATATTTGATGTTACGAATGTTCGCGACAATCCAACCCATTATTTGACATTACTATAACCATTACGACGAAATGTCTGCATCTCACATTTCCCCATTCGATGACATTATACATTACCTGGCCTTGGACTACCATAGCTTCATCAATTACATCATGTTCCTCAGTTTGCTTTTCTTTCGCCGCATAAGCAAAATCATCCAAACCCTTTTCCGTCTGACCCAAATACAAATAGCATAACCCTCGATTAAATAAAACTTCACATGAATATAGACGGAATTTGAGACCAAGTTGCTCGTAATCTATCAGCATGTTACCGCGAAGATACTGTAACATAAATGGTTGATTAGCGTTCGGTTCAAAAAAAAAAAAAAAAAACGAAAAAAAAAAAAGACGTCAGCTTACAAGCAATGCGTCATTGAAACTTGTGAGTGCGGATTCAAAATCGCCCAATAAAAAATGGGAGACACCCTTTTGAAAATAGGCTACTGCAAAGTATACGTCCAATTTGGTTGCCTGTTCGTATGCTCCACACTGACATTGCAAGACAAAAACCGGATCAGTCAATATCAGAACAGACAGGCAAAATAACATTCTCGACTTAATCACCGGAACACATAATATAGCTCGTTTTACCACTTACAGCTTCTTCATGCTCTCCACAAGTTGCGTATATCAATCCCATGTTGAAATGAAATTTTGCAGAGTCTGCAATACTCTGGTAAAACGACGTGACAGCAAATCAAAAGGATTAGTTACGTTATGTGCAAAAAAAAAAAAAAAAAGAAATGGTCGCACTAACCTCAAAAATCTCGAGAGCTTTGTTAAAGTCGTCTTCATCATAGGCGACAACAGCAGTGGCCCATTGTTCTAATTCATACTAATGAAATATAATAGAGGGTCAGCGTTAGGTTTAGAACAGTGGCCAAAGTGTATAATCGAGCAATTTCTTCCGACATGTATTGTACATTGCACGATTTCGATAAATTAACTAGTCACGCTCACACTATGCCAGTATTAACCTTTAAAGCCATTTATGTCAGTGTATAGTCCGTTTAATGTGGCCGTGTTTGTTGTGAATGCGGTTTGGCGAGTATAAGTTCCAGGCAAATGATACTATCCAAAGCGTCTTTAGCGCCAATATTAATATGGTGGGGGGTGGTGCTGTAGGTGTTTTGTAGTTTTAGTTGTAGTTTTAGTTGTAGTTGTGGTTGTGGTTGTGGTTGTAGTTGTAGTTGTTTCGTTTTGTTATTATTGTAGTTGTAGTTGGTTTTGTTGGGTTATTGGATTCTTTTTTCCTGACTGTGTGTAATTCGTGAAAAGACAAGCGTGTAAAAAAGTGTAGAATGTAACCAGAGACTTTGCAAGTTGGACAAGATAAATGATTGTTCCAGCAACCAATAGAGATATTCAAAGACAAAGAACGATCGGAAGACTATTTGAGTCTGGGCTTATAAAGAAGTAACAACCTTCTATATTGGAAAGAAAAAGAAATATGTGAGGGGAATGATGGTGATATAACATAGGCCATCAAACGACAATGCACTCTGTGCGACTCCTGGTTTCATGAGCTTGTCACCCAATTTAGCGTATTTGCCAGTCATTGGACAATCTGAATTTAATACCGATTACTGTGGAATTTCCGTTTTTAGTAACACATATTCATAACAATAATAATAAAAGGGGAACTAGTTTAAAGGGGGATTGATGAAGTCAAACAACCTTTAAGACGTTATGTAAGTATCCAGGGTCAAGATGGATTATAGCTGTTTCCAGTTATACATAAAAGGATTCATTACTGTCGCACAGGTTAATTTAATGACGAACGAGATTTTTTTAAAAACGAATAAAATATTCATCTGATTTGGTTTGTTTTAATTTCGATGGAAATTTCTGTCATTTGAGCTTACCCCTTTTTTTATACATCGATATACGGCAATTTGTATCGAGTATAGGATGAAACAGAGAGGAAATAAAAACAATTTACAGTTTTATGAAGTAGGATTACGATTGTCTAGGGACGATGTGTCATTGGAAGAGTACAGTTTGTGTTTCATTATTAATTGTTCCCAGCCAGCAGTATAGAAAAGCTTATTGCATGTGAATTATTAAAGTTACTCGTATCAACATCATCTTACCATATAGTCGAAAGGATCCACATATTAGCGTCAAAACATGCAAATTCTGATATTACATAATGTCACAGATAAGGTTAGATTTTGTCAACATTATTATCGCAAACTGGTTTTCGACAATGAAAGTTTCGTTTGCTAATTTGAAAAATCTATTTATTCGGTTGCTAACAATAAGAATAGACTATGCCCGATATGGTACTTGTATCCCACTATCAAATCCCTCGAGCATATTAATAGGCCAAGTTTAATTCACAAAAGATTCGTATTTTGATTGGATAATTAAACTGTGCTTTATGATAATTCCTAAAATTGCAACGCATAATTCGTTTTATACAGTTTAATATCACATTCCGTGGTGGGATGATTATTTTTTAGCGTCACGCCACTTTTTTTTTTAACAGTTTATTGGTTGCAAATATCGTATGATTAACTTTCCTGAACTGTACCACACCTGAACCTTTAAATAACCATACACGCAGATTATCCAGAAATGAACTGTTTTCTATTGTAGAATCTCTTTATAAGTTATACGGAGAAGTTTGTTCTAATATGAAACGTATCAAATACGTAAAATGTTTGCATGAGAACTGAAGAGTAAGAGCTACAATACAAAAACCGTTTATTTTGTTATATAGGTTTGGTTTTGCTTTATATTTACTTTATGTGGAAAGCTCATGTGAATACACGCATCTGACGGTGGAAATCGTCCATTGTGTTACGTAAAATCACAATAGCATACAGATTAAATTTACGACAAAACACTTTCAAAATGAATACCGTCTGCTGTATTAGTATCTAATTGGTCTATTAGCTTACTCGTCAAATTATTTGTTAATTAATAGCAACACTCTGTCCATAAACGTAATGAAAAATAAAATATTATTTTCAGATGCAATACTTTCGATGCATGCAGTTTATCAACAACTAAAATACAAGTGACTCCAATTGTATTTTCCCCATGCAAAGATATTTCATACAGAAAAAGTCATACAAGCACGAGCAACAGATCTTATATACCAAGTCGATGATAATCTGTTTCACGGCAGCGGCAATGAAGTAAAAAAGCAAAGATAGCTGTATACAAAGCAAAAATTCAGCAAGATATACAGTTGGTTTTGAGACACGCCCAGAGATCACCTATAAAACACTGAAAATTGATTGACTCTTCAAACGTCACAAATTAGACTAATAAAACTAATATTAAATTATATGAATAATAATTAACGTAATTATGTCCACTGATTTCTCTTTGTCAGAATATCCTGATAATAACACTGCATCCAATTAATCCGCATAACAATCGCAACAAGCAATCTAGATCGGCTGTTACATTTTCATGCTCTATAATATAGAAAACTTAATCTCTTTCAATTATGCCGTAGTTCGGCGGATACCGTAGTATGCAACGAGCATTGTACAGTGTAACCGATCACCATTGTTAATTGCGCGTGTGTGCAATGTGCGCACATATGGCAATGTCCAACTCCCAAATTCTTACCTAAAATTCATGTATGCTGATCATTCGGCATTTCCTAACCAAATATGGCTTATTTCACCGGTATCCAACCAGAAAGTTAATTTTATCGGAGGTTTTTCCTCTTCTGGACCCAAAAGATTAAATTGTAAGTTACCGGATTTGGCAGGTAAGTGTTTATTTTCTGCGACGGAAAACATAATCAGTGTGTCCGTATTGGTTCGTTTTGAACCAAAGAAGGTCCACTTGCCTGCTGATATTTACAAGTTACATTGGTCATATTACTTAATAACATCCTCAAACTATTTTATTGACATAATTTTACGGTTGACGTCGAAATACCGAATTCAAGATGTCGTAAATGTGAATTTACGTCAAAGAGCTAATATCATATGTAAACATCGGTCCTGCTTATCGATTAAGACTCAAAATTACCCGATTGTCCATTCTCCAGCTGATCGATTAATATGATACATCTTATGTGGCTATGCCAATTTATTTTAACCGAACCAATGATTGAGAAGTAAAATGTGAAGGCCATTAATTACTGGAACTCTATATTTTTACGAATATTAAAAAACTTGTCTTGGCAAATAAAATCAACGTTTGTTTAGATCTTTGTGAAACCGCATGTATCAATTATCGTAAACACGCTACTTGATTTTTTCAAATTGATAAAACATATTTCACACACATACAGAAATAAATGTTAGGTAATTGAAGATTTTTTTTGTGATAACCAAATATCAAACTTTACCCTCTTTGAGTTTATCGTAATTGGTCAGAATGGCAACATTGATATCTTTGTCAATGCTATTATTATTATGGAAGTTTCAAGTCTAAATTTTGTTTAGTCACATGGGAGCAGGTACTGAGTCTTATAAACAATTGTCACTGTCATTGCTTTCCCGGAGACTATATTTATATATCAACATAGGAAAAACTTACTATTGCCATTACTTATACTATTGCTATTAATGATACTGTATAAGAAAGTAATTAGTTAGTCAATTATACGGTAATTAGTTTTTTTTCCAGCTAATTATTTAGTTAAATTAGACTGAAATAAAGAGCTTTTACAATTGGTGTTTTTAGATATAAAGACTTTGTTACTCTAATTCATTATTAATTACTAATTACTAATTTATTATTATTAGCACTATCATTATTATTTATATTATTTATGCCGAATAACTAACTGTTCTAAGTATTTTCAAATTAGAAAAATAAAGAGTTTGTTGTTTTTTTTTCATTAAACTTGTAAATATTTTTGTTCTTTTTAATAAGCCAATAACTTTACCTTGTTCTTTAATTTCTGGTTATACCTTTTTTGTAATATAGCTACCGAGCACTATTTAACCAACAATAAACCGATTTCCGAATTTGATCGGCTCGGAAGCGTCCTAAGTTAATATTGTATTGTGAAATTTTATTCGATATCTAATTATTTGCATTTCAATATCATGTAACTTTCCCCTACCCTTTTAGAAAAAAAATATTTTACCACGTCCCTTTTTCTGTTCACGTCAACTCAGAAAATGTCCATATGCGCATACTTTGATCACAAACATACCGAGTGGTGTATCACTGAATTTATAAACAAAGTTATGAAGAAACGTTTCAACTAAAATATTATCCAAGGAACTACGGAAAGAGGCGCGTAAATCTACTTGTTACTGATACTAATAACAAGTACAAAAGTTTACTTGTTGAAATGGCTAATTCATTTAATAACTTGACTAAGTAAACCAACCAGTTTCCAACCAGTTTCCAACCAAACCGCCGAAGAAGGGAAACGACTTTCCCCGGAGCGTTGCAGGTATCATAATCATGGCCCATAATATCAAATTACGTCATGTTCTTTACGGTTGTATGCATATACTATCTAATATTACTTTATCTTTCACTAACTCCAATCCTTAACTAAACTTGATTAGGGGGTTTTATCAGCAGCTGTTTACGAACAGAAAATGCACACTTTATTGCAAATGAAGTATTGTAATTCGAATCATTGCTCGATTTTACAACCCAAGGCTAGAAAACCGCATAAAGCTGGAACGACCGTCTAAAAAGATAGCGATGGATGCTATCTCAAGTAAAATACTTGATCGTGCATAAGATTTCTATGTCATTTAGTAGAGCTCTTTACCACCGTAAAGCAATTGACAGACGGCCAACTACCAGCTTTACATATTTACACTATAAAAAAAAACGCGAATCTGTCATCGTTAAAGAATCATTGTAAAACCAGGAAACTTACTCATTCACGCTCACATTCATCGTCATCCTCGCCCTCATCCGTGCTAACGAACACGTCTTTTTCGTCTAATTCAACTTCTAGTTTGACGCGTTTAATTTGGCAATAACCAAATTCACGCCTATAATCAGAGCTATCCCGATTTTCTCCGAAATCTATCCTCTTTGCGGTTTCGTAAAAGTATTTATCATCGGCCTCTTGGATAATGTTTGATAACCTGTAAAGGCACCGCGCTTCACTCTTCATTGCCACCTGAGCAAGTTCCTCGGTTGCGAAACAGCGGCAGCGCATATCATAGTTAACTTCCTTGTATCCAGAGAAATATATCATCAACACCCAAACTTGCGTGTCATTCTTGTCTAAAAAGAGGAAATGAAAAAGAAGGTAAGTCCCTTGGATCATGCAAAAGGCAAACAGTAACCGACTCTACCTGCAGCTGTTGAGGTGGTTGCAGTCGTTGGCGTAGTGTTTTTCATAGCTCTATGCTTCTATCAGTGTAGAGCGCGAATGCAAACTTGATCAAAAGATGTGAAGAGAAAAGTTATGACGGTATCGAAATCAAATTTAAATTTCAAGGTAAACACAGAACTGTAGGGGGGAAGCCTGTGTAATTATACGAGTCTCGTGAGATAAGCGATGTTACTCAAACTACCTTCATTATCATGTGATTCCGATAATGTTGCGCGTCTTTGCTCGTGCCCTTCGGCTTGAGGCCTCCCTAGTTTATTTCATCACAGCATGATAATGTTTTCAATAATCAGTCAATTGTCTCGTCTACTCTTTATTTTGCTGTTACCTTTGGCCTTCCAATTAGGAGGGCGTATGGCAGGTCTGGCATTTTCGTTTGCGTTTATCGTATACTTTGGCGCGTTAAGCATTGCACGAGCAATATGGTGGAAACAAAATACCTTGGGTTGGGTTATTGTAAGTGAGGACACGATGAGCGATTGCATTTAGCTCTTATCATTCAACTAATTTTTCTCTGCAACATTTGCTTTTTAGCCCCAATTGCTGACAATGTCTCAACCTATATTAATCCCCTACTTTGTATATCACTCCGTTCGATTGGCATACACCTCGACACCAAGCGGTGAAGAAGACTTTTTGCCCTTGATGCTTAAGGGATATGAATCAATATTAGCCTATTGTGCTCCTGTGTTTATAATAATAGAGGGCCTTGCGACATCATTGGTCTTAGAAGTGGCTCGGAAAGCAGTGAAAAAACGTGACCATTTACAGGTAGCATGTGAAATGTCAACATCGCAAAGTTTACTTGCGGCTTTATTGTATATCCTCCTGATGACACTCATGAACTGTACTATTATTCAATGCAACAGCTTCCATTATTCATAGGTTCAATAGTCTTATACCTTGTATCGGGACTGGCTGTGACTTATGTTTACAATACCAATTGGGTCGATTCACTGTCAGCAACTCTTGTGGGGGTGTCATTAACGTTAACGATATCCATTACTGTGTTTTTGTTTGTCGGTCGGAAAGGTGTCATTACAGATACAGCCTTAATGGTAAACATATGCTCGGCTCTATTTATGCCCATCTCAGATTCTAATTGTTATCTCTCTAGTTTACGTATATAGTGTATTGCATCGCGATGATGTCCTTTGATTGGCAAAATGCGCGTGATAAACCATCGCCGACTGAAACAATCCAATCGGACGGTTCACTTCCTCTGCCGTTGATGATATTCAGGTAATGCCTCATTAACGACGATGATTGGGTCTATTGGCTGTTTGTGTATTTCCCGCATCATCCTCATGTCTCTCTCTCTCGTGTATCTTAGAAAATTAGATTTCGAACATGTTGTAGGCTTTATCGTTCAATATGTACAATCGGTCAAATTTGTATCGGCTATCCAAAAAACCCTCGCATTGGACGTGTTTGTGGCCCTTGTTTATCGCATGAGTGTTTTCATATCAGCTGCTTATTTTGTATCCAAGTTTAAGCAAGCGAGATTGGAAGCCGAGGCTGGGATTAGTCACAAGGACGACGAAGAGATTGTGAGTTATTCTTTATTACGACTAGATTTATATCTATGAAGGCTTGAATCTTTCGGTTTACTCACACAATTTGATTTAAACAGGGGCTGAGGTTCCTCAATATAATTACTTCAATCACAACACCGACGCTCATTGCTGTCTATACACATTTGCTCTTGTGCCATTTTGGATATTTAGACGGTAGAAACTTCATATGGCGATGGCTTAACATATTTTGTTTTCTCTTCATTCATACTGCAGAGATATTATATGACGATGACGATGCTTGGGATTTTGAAAAGGAAGGATTGGGGAGAAGGTTCTTTGACGATTATTATGAGGCTGATTGATGTATATTAGCGTTATAGACAAATGTATCAACGTAATAAATAATACACGTTAGATTGCTACACTTGCATTGGGCAAATGCATTATCCCGCTTATAGCGAGAGTTTGGCAACGAGCCTTTATTCCCCCACCATCCGCATAGCCCATTCTGTTGCATGGTACATGGAGGTGATCCCAATTGCGGGAGGTGATCGCGTCGTTATGAAAATGGGAATCATTTTTTAATCTACTTCTAACCGATTACCTTTTTTTGTATTTATTATCCAATAATGAAAACATTCATACCAAGCGATAATCTAGCCAGAATTACTAAAAGGCATCGTGAGTACAGCGATATTCAGTTCAAGTGATATCTCTTTTCTTACGCTGTGGCTTGTTATTGCATTATGCATTGGCATAAAATTCTTGTATTAATCACGTGATATTTCACTGGAAAGTCTACCACGTTTCACTTTTTGTTCAGAAAATAACGCACTTTTGAATTTATAAATATAAAAGTATAATAGACTATAGAAAAATAACTAGTAGCGATTTGTCTATCACCCCTTACATCATGGCCTCGTCCCTGAAGGAAGTTAGCTTGCGAGAGCAGCAAATAGAAGCAATAGTCACAATGCTTAATCTAAATACAAAGTTAGAGACACCAAACAACTCTTCATCAGATCTAGTGTCTGCAATACCACCTGTCGACGTCGAAACCGTATGGAAAGTTCTTATATTCGATGAATTTGGTAGAGACGTAATCTCGTCAGTATTAAAAGTGAACGATCTGCGGAAGAATGGTGTTACTGTTCATATGCTATTGAAAAGTGATAGACAGCCAATTTCAGACGTACCAGCTATATACTTTGTAGAACCTACTTCAGAGAACGTCCAGCGAATAAGTGAGGACCTGGCTAGAAATCTATATGAATCTTATTACATTAATTTTACAAGCGCGATACCGAGAACGCTGCTAGAGGAACTTGCAACTGCTACTATTCCGAATAATACATCCAATCTTATTTCACAAGTCTTTGATCAGTACTTGAATTTCTTGGTATCTGAACCTAATTTGTTCTCTCTCAACCAACCAAACGTCTACTATCAAATGAACTCACCGACTGCTGAAAAATCGACAATAGAGTCAGTAGTTGACAAAACAGTGAACGCATTATTCTCAGTATTAGTGACAATGGGTGTGATTCCGATCATTCGATGTTCACGCGAAAACGCTGCCGAGATGATATCCCGTAAATTAGACGTTCGACTACGCGACCATGCTCTAAATCCACGTAATAATCTTTTCGCCGAAGGTTCATCCGCCATGAGCTTCCAACGGCCAGTATTGATCATCGTCGATCGAAACATTGATCTTATCCCTATGCTTAGTCATTCTTGGACCTATCAGGCATTGATTGATGATGTACTGGATATGAAATTGAATAGGATATCCGTGCAGGTGGACGAACATGGACGAAACGTGAAAAAAAGTTATGATTTATGTGTAGAAGATTTCTTCTGGAGTAAAAATGCAGCAAGTCCATTCCCACAGGTTGCTGAAGACATTGATATCGAGCTTAACAAATATAAACTAGATGCAGCAGAGTTAACTAAACTGAGTGGAGTCAACGTGGATGATGTTAATCCAATGGACTTTACGCAAAATACTCAACATCTAAGGTCTGCCATAACCGCATTGCCTGAATTAACGGCTCGTAAGCAGACGCTTGATATGCATATGAACATTGCTACTGCTCTGTTACAGGGTATAAAGGAGCGGCAATTAGATACATTTTTCCAAATGGAGGAGTCAATTGCTCGACAGAATAAGCAATCAATAATCGATGCTCTTAGAGACCCGGAGAAGCATTCGCCCGAGGATAAATTGAGACTTTTTATTATCTACTACTTAACGGCTGATGAAATCGGAAAGGAGGATATGGTTGAATATGAGGCTATGTTAAGGATGGCTGGATGTGATCTATCAGTGCTAAATTATGCTAAAAGGTTTTGTCCCTAAATTACGTGATTTATAGCGCAAGTCCATTCTTCTATTGACTAACAAGGTTGCATTTGTTTATAGAGTACGCGAAATTACTAGGATGACGATGCTATCCACAACTGGGCCATCGAGTTCAGGATTCGGTCAATCTAGTCAATTATTTCAAGGCTTTAGTTCAATTGGGAACAAGGTCAGTGGCCACTAACGTGGGTGATTGATGTTCAATATGCAATCATTCGGCAGGTTTTAATAATGCGCATAGTAATTACTAGTGTCAAATCAACATAATTAATATTGTTAATGTCTGCTTTATATTAGCTGACGGATCGTTTAAAAGAAGGCGGCTTTAGTGGTCACTTTGACAATTTAATATCTGGTGTCAAGAACTTACTCCCTTCACGCAAAGACTTGACCTTAACCAAAGTAGTCGAATCGCTTATGGAACCATCTGCTGGGACAAGTGACACAGACGATTATCTGTATTTAGATCCCAGGACGGCTCGTTCATCAGCCGGTGCTAACAAACAACAAAGGCAGCGACACGCGTTCCAAGAGGCTATTGTGTTCGTTGTTGGTGGTGGAAACTATATTGAGTATCAGAATCTGCAAGAATACGCACAGGTTAGTTTGGTGTGCGGAATTGCCACGAATATTTGTTGGATATCTAATCTGATTTTGGCTTTATTATAGCGGCAAACCGTGAAGAAGAAGATTACATATGGATCTACTGATCTCCTGAACCCGACAGCTTTCCTGCGGGAATTAGCTAAACTTGGATAGCTTAATAAACGTTGAACGGTAGTATAGAATAATATATTAGATAAATTATTATAGTATTAAAATTTGTTTAATCATGAAGTAAAGTTTGCTTATCCATGTACAGGACAACGCTGAACAACTGCTCAATCAGTTTATGCAAGTTTTCAACATTTCAGTAATAATAACGTGAGCTGCTGCGTCCATATGATTGCAGGTTTTTTTTTTAAACAGGATAAATCTGCGCTAATAATCGAAATGTCTCGAAATGATACGTGTAAAAACCCTCAGGGAAGAATGGGTTCGATCAACTTAACTCTGTTGATCGCGTGTATAATCAGTCATATGAGTTAACTTGCGCGATACAATAAATAATTGGGTAAATCAATAATCAATGCAGACAGACAAACGAATAAACAAATGAACAAATGAACAAATCAACAAAAAGATCTAATCCCAACAAGCTTCCGCACAAGCATGTTTTGTCCGACAACCAGCTGTGCAGGATAACAACATCGTTCATTAATAGATAAGTCTGAAATCTCGTATTGTTTATTATTCCCTCGGAACTTGAATGGCTAGGTGGAAAGACTACTTGCCATGTCAAATAGCAGATTCATAATCATCTGCGTGAGTCAAGATCCAAAATATTTGGTAAGTCAAAGCGATTAATTTATCAAGCGGTATTATTAAGTCATTGTTATAGTGTTGAGTTTAACCGTGAATGTTTGATCATCCCAAATTCTTTCGCCACGTTTTGTCAAAGCTTAATCTTAATGCAAGGCTACCGGCTTTACCGTCACATCGATACGGAAAGTCTTACATTGATAAAATTGGCTAAAAATGAGTAAGAACCGCTAATGTCTAACATTACAAACTAAACAGACAGATTACGTTATTAATACTTTAGAACGCCTAAAGGACTTTTGTAATACAACTGTACTTGATCACAATTACATAAGCGATGGACACAAGATGCAAAGCGCAACAAGTAGTATAGGCGGTCATAAAAATTGCAGGCTTTTGTTTTCTTCAAGTCCAAGGTAAGCAAGTAAGCAGTCTACAGAATGTCAGTTGCATAGTAAAATACTAGATGCCATGCACAGGTTGACTGTTGTAGCTGATGCCTTTACACATATTCGATCTGAAAAACCGTCGATCAATCCGTTCTAAGAAAGGGACAACCAATCGGATATTTATCATAAATGAAACTACCTAAAACGGGTGCAATACACAAAACGAAACCAAAAATTTGTGGAGCTGGAAGGGTTCACAAAGTTTACTCTGAGCGAATGCGATATTCTATTATTCCATTGCGTTTAATAATTGCATTTTTGTTGTGGCTTGTGCCATATATTGAGTATTAGAGGCCAACCATGCCAAGGAGCTGCTATGCTGGCGTTTATGTTCGTCTCTGACAGAATTAACAAAAAATAACTTCGATGTTTAAAAGTATAATAATTATAATAAAAATTTTCGTAATTTGATAAACCAACATAATATCTTTATAGTACAGACAGACATGTCTAAATATACACATACTCCGAAATCCTCCTTGGGAGGCTTATCAGAAGAAGAAGACATATTCTTCGAGGCAGAGTCAGAAACGCCCCCTCTCCCAGCACTACCAGTTCTGTCGTCTTCGATAACACAGCCAATTAACCGCTCTCCTTCCACCTCAGACTTGGCTCGAAAAAGGTCACCGCAACCTCGCAAACATGTCCACAGCACGTCGATTGACTCATCGGGAAGTTCCAAGTTCGAATCTATCTACATGACTCCAAGAGAGTCAGCTGCCAACCTACCATTTTATCCAACAAAGAATGCATTGTTGCAAGGCAATCAGAGCGAGCTTGCACTTTCAACCCCTAACGAATCAACATACAATTTTACCACCTCGGACGTATTGTCCCAAAAACGAATCCCTTTTAGCACAACTTTAATTGGTGAAATCTCCAAATCCCCAACCCCTCCCATGCCTTCCCTCAATTCTATTTCAACAAAACGAATCCTCTCTTCCGGTCGTGACTTTACATCGCTAAAAGCTGCAGAAGAAGAACTCAAATCCATAACCGTTGGTTTTAAGCAAGAGGACTGGCTAACGTCATCACTAGACTCTGAAGACAAACCCGATCACCGCACCACCGTGTCTCCTCATCCGGAAGATGCAAACAAGTCATCAACTGACCCATTTCCGCCTACACTTCAGCCTGATTCGGCTCTCTTTCCATTGATTACTACGCCAAGCGGCGGCGTTATGCCTGACAGAGAAAAGAAGAGAAAGGAAAACGAAGAGAAACACGGCAGAGACAGAAAAATATTCTTGTCTCCCGAAATTGAGGGTGAAACCGAAATAAAACCAATATCTTCGGGAAAGTCATCGAGAAGGGTGTCCAAAGATGATGCACGTTCGCATGGATATGGCAGCTCGAAAGTGAGCTCGAAAGTGAGTTCGAGAGTGAGTTCGCGAAGGCCGTCGGGCAAGTCGACTGAAGGCAGCTATATAATCGTTCAAGTATCGACAAGGGTCAAGGTGTTAATGTTGATTGGGTAAGCCAAGCCTTTTTCTTTTACTCTTTCAGACTTTCAAGACCCAATCTAACCTCTGAATCTTTGACTAGGTTGTCAATCGTATTCTTTTTCGCTACGCTAGATCTAAACCTAATAGGGACAATGATACCAACTATAGTAACCGAATTTACAGCGGGAAGATACATAGCATTGTTAATTACGGCATACAATCTTCCAAGTGTACGTATTAATTTGTATTAAACTTTCAATTCTCGTTTTTTTTTTCCGTTCATTAATTAACTCCACACCCGACTGACTGCCTCGTCAATCACTTGCTTTTTTTCACAGACTATTCTTCAACCACTTTGCGCCCCAATTTATATAATGTTCGGCAAGAAGCTAACTTACCTCGTATCCATAATTTTATTTTCCCTCGGCTCGTTTGTCTCCGGCTCAGCAAGATCAATAATCTGGTTAATCTTCGCCCGAGTTTTGGCAGGCTTCGGTGGTGGTATGATAATCCCATTAACATATGTAATCATTCACGACGCACTTCCTACTCAACAACATAAGATGTTTAACGGGGTAATCAACGGAGTGTTTGCAGTAGGAGTAGTACTGGGTCCAATAATTGGTGGCGTGCTGGCGGAAAAACTTTCTTGGAGATGGGCATTTTATTCAACGGGCGCTTTTTCGCTTGTGGGAATGTGTTTGTTGGCTTTTTCGATAAAAGTTCCTCCTGTAGAGGGAAATGTATTGAAAAAGTTGAGAAAATTAGATTGGATCGGGATTTTCTTTTTGATATCCACGATGACTTTGTTTTGTGTTGGACTGTCATTGGGAGGAGAGACATTTAGCATAAATGTGATTGCACTCCTGTCTGCGGCGCTTGTAACCGCAATATGCTTCTGTGTCGTCGAAGCCAAGTTTTCACGAAATCCTTTGCTTAGTATTTCGCTTCTGAGAGATTATCCATTGAGAGCCGTGTTCGGGTCGTTCTTCTTCTTGGGTTGGATACAAGTAGTGTTTATGTATTATTCACCCGTATTCTTACAGTTTGTCGTGAGGAAAAGTGTAATACAATCTGCCATCGCACTGTTACCGTTTGTTGGCGGCGTTGTTCTAGCATGGATGTTATCTGGAGTGGTTGTACTGAGATATGGATGGGGTAGAATGCTTATTGTTTTTGGTGGAGTGCTGATAATTGTAGGGTCGGCATTAGTGTTGACATTTACAGACAGTGAGATGGTAATTAGGGAAATATTGAGCATGATTCTTGCAGGTATTGGCATCGGTGTACTTTCAATGGTGCTTGCTGTTACCGGACAAGCATCATCATCTCTACCCGATCCGAATCATTCTAGTATATCAGCATTGAGCAATTTCTTTAGATGTACGGGGTTAGTGATGGGAATGATGGTATCTGGAGCGGTGTTCAACAACGATATACTGAAGAAAATTACCGATCCGTCAATTTCATCGACGCTCGGTGATTCTATCAAAGATGTGAATGATGTGTTATCATTTGGCTTCCTAGACTCGGAGACAACTAATGAGAAAGTGGTCATCGGAGTAATACTGGATGCAGTGAAAAGAGTGTTTGGCGTGTCTGTCATTATGGCAGCCGTGATTTTATTATTGTCTTTGTTTATAAGAGAGAATAATAGACCAAGGAGACCGTCATTAAAGGCGTAAGCAAACAAGGGGGTCGGACAATGATGGAGATGGTGAGAGGTAGGATATTGCGGTTAATTGATCCAAGATGTAATACATTATTGATGATTAGTTAGTAATACTAATTGTCAAACAATTATTTAATGAAAATTAGTACGTATGCATAAATATTATTGATCAACTGATATTAGTCGTTGGAATACTTACAAACCTTTTCTTTACCTTCTAAATAATTTTCGTTTTCGATTTTACGATGTATTATTACTGTGTAACATTATAAGACCACCTGTACAAGAGATAATAATGTAAAACTAACGATTAGAGACAAATAAAGATTATTATTATAACTGCAAGATAAGCCTATCCATCGAGCACCTTTAAAGAGCACGAATCTCTTATCCACTCGCCTTAATGTCACAATCCCATTTAATGAATATGCGACTCTCATACTCACACTCAACTTTTCTCTGCACTTCCACTTCCCTGCTCTACAACACGCTTCCATCCTTCGTATATCTCTGCAATGGTTACATAGTTCTTTGTCATTGTTTCAAGATCCTTAACAAGTTCTTTTGTAAATAAATCTACACTCTGCAGACTAGCACGAAGTATGCGAAGAGTTTGAATATCCTTTTTACAAGTAAATGACACAGTTATTTTCACGCAGGAGTAATTCTTCGCTCAAAGGTTCGGATATAAAACGAGAAACCCGTTCAAGGTGTGTCTCATACCTTTGGAATATCTTCCGGCATAGTAGAGACTATGCGCGAATTTTCTCCAATTCATGTTAGTATACAATCAATTTTATCACGTGAATTATGTATTACCCGCTTTGTATTTGCAAATACTTTTTTTGTCCTTTATCGTTCAAGTAAGGTCACATACAAGTACTGTAAACATTACAAACACTTTGTTATTTTATTATCATCTCTGCGTGCGCTCTGCTCACATTGTGTTCTAACAGTGGCCTCAGGATACGGATACAACGGTGGTAAAAGCAGGTGTTTTACCTTCTGGCAAGAATTGCGAAAATGCTATGCTATGGCAGACCATCCCACACAATGCGTACTGCAGTCTGAGGATTATCTTGAATGCTTACATAATACCAAAGAGGTAATTGGATATAATTACTGTCGTCGAATAATTGAAACAATGTTAATAAATTCCTGGTTATGTCATGTGCGTCTAGTTGGCGAGAGCAAGGCGCATCAGAGCTGAGATACTAAAAAAATCGGGAGTGCGCAAGAAAAAAGAAGCCACATTGCGTAAGACTAATCAATCCGCGTTGGATAGTAAGGTCATGCGTTTGGGTATAATTACTGACAAGAACGACTGAGAAGAAGAATAAGTTATTAAAACAAGCACACTGTTTAACATTGCAAACAGATGCTTAATAATAATAAAGCACAGCATCCGCATACTTCTGATTTAACTTGTCAATCTAATTAAATCTGTTTATGTTATTGAGAAGGGAATTAGGTCTTTTGAGTGCCAACATTGTTGCTGTTGTTTTCTTTATTCTTATTGCCATAGGACTTTTGAAAACCAGTTGTGTTATTACTTGGAGCAGAGTTACTGTGTTTTTAACAACTTGTTGAAAACATGATATTTGCTGTCTAGCTGAATTATGACTGCTTCCTATTACATTATTTATTGAACTAATGCTATTACTATTACTATATTAATATTAATATTAATATTAATATGGGGCAGACTGCAAGAACGTTTGTAATTTGATTATGTGAGATAAAATGGCTGAAATGGCCATGACATGTTTGGGAAGGCTTTGCTTCATTAGTACACCTGTGGTTCATGCCAACCTGCTGACTGACCTCATTTGGTAATCATTAGTAGCATGCATTACAATACAAGAATAAAAATAAAAGTCACTTGAACGTGATAGTTTGTACAGTGTTGTAGATATTATTAGTAGGTATTAGTATAGTGTGCTGTGATTTGTCATTAATTCCTCACACAATGGTTAAGCTCTCAGCACTGTAACTTAATATTAAACAATTTTGGCATATTAATATGCTGATTACCAGACTGAATTTCACCATTAGAGAAGACATTAGAGATCATATATTAATATTACAGACATTTTTAAGTAGTATAAGTGAAAGTACTGGCGCGTTTTGAAAGAATTTTATTGATGTTGCGACCCATTCTGGGATTTGAGAACGGGTCAACCCGTTTCAAGATTGTCACGAATCTTTTCGACTTTATCACATAAATTATGCACTTTATTGGTGCAAGAGATTATTCTAATGTGACAATCTCGATCCTAGAACGAGGTCAATAGTAATAGGTTGGAGGATGACACGAGATGATCAAAACCATCTATATCTATAAAAAATTCTATCTGATGTATTGTAGTAATACTGTAGAAGGAAATAATAACGATCTGGCACCAGTTGTCATTCACTTACTTGTTACCTTATTATTATGATCTCCTTATGACGCTTTATGTCTCAAAAAGCTTTCAAACCACCACCAAAATCAATGATAGGTACTATGATAAGAAAATATTTAAAAACTTCTGCTTCCATTTCCGCGCAAGCATGGCAAACCCGTTCATGACAAAGGTATAGTTTTTCACCAAATCAGTAACATTTTGAGCTTTTAATAACTATTCTTCTGTGTGTACATGTAGTTCTACGCTCCAAAATCGAAAAGCTGCAAAAAAGAGCAAAAGTATATAAAATTCAGCAACTCTGTGCCCGTGACGCCTATCAAGAAAGGCTCTCTCCATTCCTTAATAAGCGCGTCACAGCTACTTTGGCTCTCCGAGTTTTGAAAAGAAACGAAAACATGCCAGCTCTCATATTCCAGTGGAATCATGTCTCCGAGTACATTGAGTCCTGTGATTCATGCCAAGAGATAGTAAGCTGAAGCATAAAGCCCGATAGCAGTATCTTGCACTATTGAAAATCATGGGAATAGACCGTGTTGGATCTTTACCTAAATCAGAGAAAGGATATGGGTATATCATCGTTGCCCAACACTGCAGGATCAGGTGGCATCTGAAGTGATAATATTAATATAAGTGCTTGTTGTGATGATCAAAACAGAGATGGGGATGGCGAGAAGGATGAGCAAAGAGAAGGGGCAGGGAAATGGATAAGGATGTGGAAGGGTCAGTTTATAACTCCGACGGAAAGAAAAAAGAAAGGAAGGGAATCTTTACGATGACGTGCATTCCTCGCGGTGGTGCTTAGAAGCGGAACAATAGTAATGAAGAAATTAGTGATTAGACAGTAGATTCCGATGCTAAAAATAGATCAATTAATAGTCCGAAAAGATATATAATAATAAGCAGGTGTAGCGCAGACTTAGCATCGCATCGTTGTGTTCGCAGTGTTCGCCAATTCGCAAATTCACTTGTTATATCAGACGTTGGATTTATTCCTTATTTTATAAACAAACAGGTATTCGTTTACTCTGAAACGATTATATTTCTAAGCATTAATCCGTATAACGGAAAGGTCTATGGTAATACTTGTTCCGCGAGTGACTGAGTGGCAATAGAATAATTAATTATTGCTTTTCTTGACGCGTTACCCTCTTATTAAACCCAACGATAGATTACCGACGTAATCTAACGGTAGAAAATCGCATTCGTTCTCGAGAATAATCAATTGCTTAAGATTAGTGAGTTAGACTTGGTCATGCTAAGAACAGCGTAGTGAAGCAATTCTATCTAAACAGGTGACTTCTTCCGCGGCGAAGAATCGGTACAGTAGCAGTGAACACCTCGCCGTTTGCAATTAACGCATCTTGCTGAATTCCTATTTACCTTGCGGCCTTGCATTTAGCCCTCGCCAGTACGTAAAAGCCTAATTTAAAGGTCACCAACTGTTTGTTACTTTTCCGAGGTGAGCCACGCACTTACGAAGGCGCAGCGAATCCTTAACCGAGTTAATAGTCACACACACTCGACATGTCAGGAAAGTCAACAAATTAAATGATTGTTCTTCTACTCAATTCTGAATCGTCTGCCTAGATGTAACTATCATCGTCCGGCACATGTTTCTGGGCCGCTCCATACATTGTTGCAGTTATTGAGGAGGGATTATGGGCCATTTTATTGCACACGGCCTGCTGCGAAAGATCATATCCCATCATGCACTTGGTGTAAACTCGGGGTATGGACAGATAGGAAAAGACAAATACAGAGGATAGCGCTCTAAGAAATTGAATTTTGTGAGTGGATACTCTTACATTCATACATTAAATGTTCGCTAGTACCCACAGAATATCAAATGGTGTTGTCTTCCCATGACAATCCCTTATGCTTATTCTGTCAATCAGTTCGCGTTGGTGTTGGCGGAATCACCTCGTTGTATTATAGTCACTGTAATATAAAAGTACGTCAGAGATGTAAAAAACATGGAGAGACAATATATTAATTCAATCCATGACAGACCTCATACACTGGTACCATTTCCAGCATGTTCTCAAGGTCTTCAAAATCTCTTCCTGTTTCTCCTCATTCTCATGCGTGGGAGGGAACAGATCTTCAGGCGTTTGGTCATCCATGTCTGCGTCCTCGCCACTACTCTCCTTTCCTCTCCCACCCTCAGTGTTGTCCAAGATTGTTCATGTCTTCCCTGGGCTAAATTGAATACTGTGAATATTGCATAAACGTGATGCCCTGCAATTATTATTTACACAGCGATGTTGATCATCAACGTATGTTTCGCACCCGTGTCTTTTCGAGGTTATCGCAAATGATTCTTGGATAACATCAGCCTACACAGCTGTTCTGCGTCTTGCTTGAGTATGGTGCTGCAACTTATCAAAAGAGACATAAGGTCAGCGCCCTTGGTATTCTATTTATTTCAAAAAGCTTGTTTGTTGTTTTAATGATTTTGACCACTGCTTGATAAACGGAGAATGTACTGTAAATTACAATGGTACGATTGGCATAGAACGGAGAGTTCATGACCGAGCGACGAAGAGTGTTCCGGCTCGGCCAATCTTACCTTCTGCCTTCTTAACCTCACGGCTTTATCTCTCCCAGTATTTTAACAAGAAATTGAAACAACCTGATGGTTATCAATTATCCACTGTGCATGCTCTTTTGTTATTGATTTCTATAGAATCTACACCTTTCTTATCGTTCGATAAAAAGCCTAACCATTGATACTTCCACCGTATTACTCACGACTGTTACACGGAAAATATTTTCTTTTAAGGTGGTATATAATAACGATTAATTTGATGAATAGCATAGCGATCTGTAACATGTCGGATAGTAATAGTTAATATTACACTTTTTTAACTAAAATTGTTTTTTTTTCTTTGGAGGGGGAGGAGGAGCTGCACCCTGCGTGGTTAATGCTTTTCTTACATATCTAACGATATGGAGGAAGACAAGCATAAAATTTTTACGTTTTAATATGGTAAACTTTTCGTATCTCACTAGATATGACCAGTAGAAAATGGGGGGAATCATAATATTTATATCTAATTGTGTATAACGGACTTGTTACATATTTTGAGCTAAGCTAAATTAAATGATAACTTAAAATTAAAAGCATTTTTGTTTGATTTATTATCAAAACTACTAAAAAAAAGTTTTCATTGCGCGAATAGATGTAATAGACTGAGGTCGAAACACAAACAAACAAAATGTAAGTTCAACCTTTACAATACGCTAAAATATAAAACAAACGAATATAATGTTACTTAACATAGTAAAAAACCGCTGCGCAGTGCATTAAATTTTCGCAAGCATATTATTAAACAAATAACTTTTTAGGAGATGACAAAAATCATAATAGATATAGGCAAGATTCGTAATTGGATAATGCATTTTCGGAGGGTGCAAATGGGGAAAAACCAATAATGCAGGATACAAACAATAAGTAATAAGTAAGTATAAAAATTCAAAGATGTTTTATCATTGACTATATAGTGCTGTATTACGAAAAAGTAATAATCAGAAATTTCGCTTATTTGTTACACAAAGTTTATTCGCTGTCTTATTTCCTGACCTATTTCCCGATGGCCATGGCCACTATGGCGACTTACACAACGATGCATATCAAAATTGACACCTACGAATAACTCATCAGACATAAACAAC